TTAATTAATTATACAAAATTTAATTACTAAATTACTAATTTGTTTTACCTCTCTAATGCATGTGCTTTCACGTATGAAAAAAAAATTTAAATTTCCTAAATAGCGTTCAATCTTGGCACCAGGTATGTAAGTCATTGGTGTAATGTCCACACCATATCTATCTTTTGGAGCAGCCTGCAATTTATCACACATTAAGTTTAACATATAAAGCTAATCAAAAAATAAACAAAKTATTGAATTGTATATATTTTAGAAAATGTTAACTTACATGTGTAGATAGTCTATTTGGACGAGGTGCTCGTTCAAATTTTCTTACTTTTTTTTCACCGTGACCTAATGAAACATCTTCTTCTAATTTAAAAATAAGTTCTTCTACACAAAACAAATTATTAAAAAAGTATAACCAATAATAAATTGTATTATAAATTATGTAATAAATTGTACGTAAACTTACCGGTTTTCTGCTCAAAATCTTTTAAAGGTAATTGTCTTCGTCTTAAAATTTGTTTGGCAGTTGTTTTATCAGATTCGCCAAGACCTAATGCCATACCTAAAATGAAAATTCAACTAGTATTTAATTAATTATATTATTGATTTTTAATTTATTTGATAGCATCCATTTTGCATATTTTTTCATATAATAGCCAAAAGTATTATTTGAGACCTCTCAGCAACTAATTATCAAATAACAACTTGCATCATTAAAATTCCATCTTAATGATATAATAATAGTGACATAYTTATTAACCCATCTACTAACTAACCTAACAAAATCTGGCCACAATAGTTTGGTGAGGGAAGCGAATAAATAAATTCCCAGAAAAAAACCAGAACCACCACCAAGTACTTAAATCCATCATATATTATGCTGTTATTTTTAATCAAAAATATAATTAATGATAATAACAATGGAGTTTATAAATACTAATTATAAATTGACTAACACCAAGAAGTAAGAAAGCCCATCATACAGAACTTAGTAGTGGTAGAAGGAAGGGTGACAATAAAATGAAAAAATCTAAAACCTAAAAAATTGCTTTCATTGTCACAGAAAATAGATATACAACATAGATAAACAATATACCTATGTAATACTTCATTTAGTATAACATAGTAAAAAAAAAAAATAGTTTATTATTTACAATTAAACTAATTACTATCAATTCACATTGCCATGTCATCCCCTTGTGCCTCCCAATGGGTACCCATGCTAGAGAGCAATCTAAAACATTAATATCGCTAGATACTATTTGAATGTCAATGATAAAATTAATATAACTAACCAACAATTGATATTTGCAATTCATCTGGTTCTGGAATATCAATCTTAAATGATAGCTTTCCCAATCCACATGGCGTCATCCTCCTCAGTTTGAAAAATAATCCCTAAAAATTATATATTTATTTTATGGAGATAATTTTATATTGATGTGTAAGGGAAATATGACTTACTTGAAGCATTCGTTGAAGTTGTTTGTCGAAATTTCCATTGGTATAATGTGCTTTAGATCGCCAAACTTGAGTAAACATTTGTAGATTACACACTGGTTCCATAGGGAAAACTTCTGAACCAGTTCCAGGAAGAACATCGGTATTGGACAGTAAAAATGAACCTGGAGGAGTTGGTTCTAATAATTGAGATACTACATCTAAATCTTCTGCATCATCCATCTAAAAAAAAAAAAATATGTTGAATTAATTTTTGCAAAGAAGACCCAGCATGTGTTGTCTCAATTTTACAGACCATACATACCAAAAACTATTTTGCACATAACAACATTACTCCTTCTATATTAATAGCAGGATATATATGGAAGAAAATAATCTGTACTTAAGTCTTTATTCTATAGATAACACTAACCAATCATTTTTAAAAATATTAAATAAAAAAAWAAAAAWAAAAATAAAAATAATAATCAAATTGATAACTTTAATTGCATTTATGTTATTGAAAAAATAAAAACACTACACCACAGATAAAGTTCTTCTCTATACTTTGTAGAATTTTGGTAATTTTGCATAAATACAGGAGTAAATTTGTCCCATGTAAAACAGTTTTTGTTAAGTTGTACGTTTATAAGACAATACATGTGGGTGTAGTACAGTCTTAACTTAAAAAAAAAGTGCTCAAAATAATTTATACTTCTAAAATACATGTGTCTCTATTTCCATAACTTAAGTTTATATCAGGTAAAGTAGTTTTTCCGGTACTGTTAGAAGACGTATTTTCGGATTCATCTTCCTATAAATAAGGTAAAAAATATATTTACATTTTGTTATATTTTAGTAGTTGTATACTAGTATTATTACTTTTTGAATAAGATGATAGTGTTGTCTATTATTAACCACGGCATCGTTAAGTAACTTTTGAGCACGTAACACTTGTTGTTGATCTGGATGAGCCCAAGATTTACCAGCTTTTACTAATGGTAATGGTGGTTCAGGCAAACAAGTTATGTACATAGCAGTACCAGTAGCATGCAAAGAAACCACTCGTTCACCAAGACAAACTTGAATCTAAACAAACAAATGAAGAGTTATCAACCTACAAAAATGATTGCAACTTATTTACTTTGAGTCCGAAAATGGCATTCATTCCTTTCACTCGTAATTTATTCAATAACTGACTATGCAGTTCATATTCAAGAAATGGCAAACCATCTGATATTTCTTTAGCATTCATCTCTCCTTTTAGTTCACGTTTATTACGGCAAACAAATGTTTGCAATAGAGTTCCAGTACCTCGAATAGTAAGTCTTTCCATAGGTTCCAATGAAGATAAAAGTATATGTGGTACTTTATATCGCCTATATGTACAAAATGCTAAGTTAAATAAACTTAATGAGATTCAAAAAGATCATAAGTTAAATTCCTTACTTGCAAGTAGAACAATACTTCATATTCATAGAAAATGGTACACTATGCTCATTATATGGTATATGACAAATGGAACATGGTAAAGAGTCCAATTTTTCATGACTATTACTTGAGTGTTTATGAGTTTTGTWGTTAAATGACTAAAAACAAATTTTGAAGTTAAGTGATTCTAATAAATAAATCAAATATTTGTTACAACATAGACATAAAATTCAGTACTAAAAACAAGAAAAAAATTGTTCGATGGTGATTACATTAGTAATAAAATAGTTGTTTAAATATATTGTTCAACAAATACTCCTCTGCTGTTGGTTCTAACAGGAAAAAAACAAAAATATATATATATTAAATTATCTAAAATAACCCATAATTAACTAAATATAATGTTAAAGTTTTTGTGGCTTGGTGAGGCGCGGTTGTASGCTCAATCTGCGGAAAYGCACTGAGCGTACGTACCGGCCGCAGTTGCTAGCTCCCGGATGGATGACCACCTGGGATTTTTAGCAACATATCCTTGCTACACATACACAAACATGTGTTACAACTAGGGCTCGGATGTTGTTGCACTAAAAATGTTATGAAATTGATTGCATTATTGCTGTTAAAAAAACCCAAAATTGCACTTAAAAATTGCAATAAAAAAATATTTTATTGAATAAAAAAAATAAAAAAATATATATTAACAAATTATTTTATGAAATGGATTAAGTCATTTTATTAAGTAATATTATAAAGTTTTAT